ACCCTTGCCCTGACTGGACTGCAGAAAAGATGTTTCGAACGCATTTTCAAACTCTAACCGTGACTGCGCCGTAGTTTTCTCTTATTTATAATTCTGAATTGCGAGAGTTCTTCCCACCCCATGCAGGGGCAGTGGTCGCCGGTCGAAATCCAATGGACCAGGTTTGGTTGGAGGTCGACAAGAGACATTTTTTTATGGATGTCAGAGACAGGTCCACCAGATAAACAGGCGGCGAGATAAATAGTGGACGGAGGACAACTTTAGGTGACCACCGGGTGAACAGCGACAGCAAGCAGGAACTGCCATTTCATAAAAATGGACATTGTTTTATTTTTTGAACGAAATGGAAACCAAAATTTTTGGGAAGGTTTTTACGACTTTGGCCCAAAACAGGTCCAAATTTTTGGCTCCTGAGGTTCCAGCATTCTTCAAACGCTGGACCCCCTGGATGTATGTGGACTTCGCTGGAGACCACATGCATCCAGGGCGTCCGTCGGTTTAAGAACGCCGGACCCTCAGGAGCCAGAAATTTGGACCTGTTTTCGGCCAGAAAAATCGGTTTCAATTTCATTCAAAAAATAAAAAATAAAAAATCCACTTTGACGAAATGGCAGTTCAGGAGCAAAGGCGGTTAGACCACCAGTACCTCCACGTTTTTAGGCCGTTAACGCGGTGGCTGTATCAGTGCGCCGCAAATGTCCATATGCATTTGCCTCAGAGTCTCCCCAGAGGGGGCCAAAGACCCCCTGGGCCCTGGGGTACTGGTGGTTTAAAACCTCCGGTATCTTTCCCAGTCATTTTGCAGAAACGCGCTGACAGTGTGCATACTAGTGCGTCCGGCAGGATGCACTGGGGTAACCATTCCCTTTCGCCCGAAATCCATGATCCACATCGGATTCTTATTCACCGCCACCTATGCTGAGCATACTGCAGTAGTTGGTGTCTGAGTTGCTGGATGGCGACGTCCAAAGGAGGACTTTGCATTATTGACCCCACTACTCAAGCCATGGCCTTCTCTGTACAATGGATCCAAACCTCCTTATTTACCCCACACCTACCATCGACTAATTTGGCGCTCGAACAAATCACCGAGCTGGCTCCGTCCGGCACCGTTCCCCCCAACCACGGACCCCACCATGCAGCTGGAAACCAGGTACAGATCGTTGACCCACAAATATGCTCTCACAAAGACAGCAGGCCGGCAGGCTGCATGTCTAGACCTGAATAATTATGCTCTCTGGAACACCTATTTAACCCCCCAGTATTTCCTAAAGTAGTGCCCGTACTGCTGCATTTTGACTGTGGGACTGGACTCTGAGGCAGGGTACCAGTTGAATTTGGACCTCTGTGGGCTGAGGGGCACCCGACTCGACACCTTCTCTGTTTTGTCTTTCCTGGCCTCCTTTGACTTGAGGACCTTGACCCTGCCAGTGGGACTCAAATTTGGGGTCTGCGAGGTGAAAATGCCTTTCAGGTCTTAATACTTCAAATTTGCCAGATCATGCGGGGGGGGTTTGGGTTGTAAGCACTGAAGAAGAAGAAGATCATGCAGTGACACAGTCAAGAGGAAACACTCAAAATGAAAAGGCAAGAAAAGGAGAAGAAGAAAAAGAAGAAGAAGAGCCCCGAGCGCATCAGCTCGAATGATATTCACTGAAGTCCAAAGATAGCGGAAAGCCCCGCTATGGCGTGAAAGCATCTGGCGATGAAACCCGACAGCTGTTTCGGCCGGCTCGCCAGTGAACCGGTTCTCCTGAGGGGCGCGCTGGGAATGGAAAAATAGACGAGCTATACTACTATATATCATAGGAAATGAGTCGCAGGTCTAAGAGAAAGAAAGAAAGGTCTGGAAATCACCAGAAGGTCCAACCAGTAAAGCATTTCACCCACGGGGCCCAGGCCCCATTGATCCTATCATTAAAGTGGCTAAGGGCCTGATCAAAATAGGAGTCCGGGAAATTCCTACGTCTGAGCTCTAATTTTAAACTGAACAAGAAAAAGGCCTCAGAGCCGGGAAGCGTGCCCATAGCATATGCCCTATGAAAAAATGAAGAAATAACTGCAATACGCTGTTGTTTGCTACAAAAGGAACTGTAGTCCTGCAGGTTTTGAAAGACAATCCTGCTATCCTCAAATAAACATTCCTGATTCTTATGCAATGCTTGACAGTACACCCTAGCTGGAGATGGATGTCTCGCTATATGCAACCGACAGCCTAAATACGGCCAATCATCTGTGCTACTAGTCTTTTCCAGCATCAGATGCTTCTCATAACAACAGGATTCATACTTCTCAAAAATTCTTTCGGCATTCTTAACAGAAGCCTCGTTATTAACCCTACACTTAATAAAAAATGATACATCATCTACAAGACAACATCCTTTCACCAGCTTTGAGTCATTGCCCAAGCTTCGAAGAAAAACATACTCGTTGTGCGTACACATCAAGCAGGCGAGTGCCGGGCTGGAAGACTTGCCCATTGGAATGCCAAATTGCTGTTTGACTACTTTCCCCATAGTCATGAAATAAGTATTACGTAGATCATAAGCAATGAATCTGACCAGCAAAGAGAAACGTACTGATTTACACCCTACATCGCTAACGGCCACCTTGCACGGACGTACACGCTTCCTTCTGGCGCAATAAAGAAACTTAAAAAATCCTTTCTCTTCAAAAAGGCTGACAGCCCAATCTATTGCAGACATAACAGCCAAATGAGGTAGAGAGCAAAACATATCCTTTACATCGTAACGTCGACCCAGAATTTGTTCACCTGTATCGATGTCCTTATTAACTTTCCCGAGAAAGGTTGGCAGAGAATGAGTACAAGACAGATTGAAATGGCTGAACTAAGGTATACGTCGAATCAACTCGTTGACACAGGCTGAAGTGATGCATGCTGCCTTCTTTGTTGGTTCGGACCAAGATGGGCATATCGGCCTCCACTTATGAATGTCTTTATGTTTGGGTAGAACGTAAGAGCGTCCTAACTTACCAGTAGTCGTCCAAGGTGCCAGCTGTGCCAGTCTCTCGGATCTGTAAATATTCTTGCACTTAGCCAAAATGGCCTCTTCCATATCGTTGATAACAACAAACCCACTATTGTCTATAAACCGCTTCCTAAGACCTTGCCCGTAGATAGTTGGACAACATACAAATGTGTCACCCATATTATGATCCAATGGACACAGTACTAACCCTTGGAACTGACTCTTCCAATGATAAATCTCAGGTGCGGAAAGGAAATTATTCTCGACAGGTGCATGGGAGAAACAGTCGGAGACATCGGACGGCAACGTGCTAACCTCCTTCCTAAAAAATGCTGAAAGAGAAGCATCAATCTGCTTGCATAAGACGGTCGGGTCAGCCCTATAGCAAGGGGCCACAATGTTCCTTGAATTACACAACCTATCAGAAATAAAAGAAGAAACACCACTAAAACGAAAGGAGACGTGCCCCTCCTCTTGAGGAAACCGGGTACCAAAGGAAACACAATTACAACATGGTGTGGAAGTGACTGAATGAGGTCTGTAGTTATATAGGATATCTCCTACTGACTTGTTTTTTGTCCATACAACACGTAACCGTCGACAGACAAGATCGAGATAAGCAACAGGGAGATCAACTTTCCTAACGTCGGATTTACAAATTTCACGAACCTTGCTTTTTATTAATCCATCATCATACCTAACTCTGACAACCAATCGCGCAGAAAGACAAAGATTTAATTTCCTCCTACATGCGAGAGACAATACCAACTTAAGAGTGGAGCGGGACTGCTTAGAGGATAGTGATCGAACACCATCATACGCAGAAATGAAGTGATCAAGATCCCAATTAGTCAAAAGCTTTCTTGACGCTTGGTTACTGAGGAACTGAACTAGGGTACTTTTAGCACACACAGATCGGGAACAAAATCGATAGAGCTTATCGACCGTGAACACAAAACCAGGCTTAAACCAGGAGCGACACCGCTTCAGAAGCCTGAACGGAAGACCAATAGCAGAAAGTAATGAGGAGCCAAACAGACGCTTAATTAGTTTTCAATCATCTACGAATCGGTTCCCAGAAATTACAGAAACAGTAAAAGGAGTACTCACCCCATCGTCGAAGGCTTGTTGAAGAAGAGAAATCAGGCTTAATGAACTGGAGGAGTTAGATATACTAAATAAGAAAGGAACATTGGAAGTGTAGTAAGGGGGACATAAACGAGAATAAGACAAACTTGACAGAGCCGGTGTGGTGGAGGAAGTGTACAAAGATGAAGAAGCAGCAGAGGATGACACAAAGCAAAGGGTACGTTCGGGAGATAAGAAAGGGGTAGGAAGAGGAGGAGAAGGAGAAGGAGAAGGAAGAGGAGGGGGAGGGGGAGGGAAAGAAGGTAATCCCGCTT